CGGTAGGAGAGGGCGGTGCCGACGGCGGAGGGCGGCGACGGCGGGGGGAGGGTTCGGTGACGGGCTTGGAGGGAGGCGGCGAGGGCGTCGGCGAGGGTGGCGGCAGGCTCGGGGGCGGCGGCGAGGGCGGCGGCGAGGGCGGGAGGCGGCGAGGGCGGCGGAGAGGGCGGTGGCGGAGAGGGCGGCGGCGACGGCGGCGGCGGCGAGGGCGGGGGAGGGCTCGGTGGCGGGCTTGGCGGAGGCGGCGAGGGCGGCGGCGAGGGAGGCGGCGGGCTCGGGGGCGGCGGCGAGGGCGGCGGCGAGGGCGGAGGCGGCGAGGGCGGTGGCGACGGAGGCGGAGGCGAGGGCGGCGGTGGCGAGGGCGGCGGCGACGGTGGGGGCGGCGAGGGCGGCGGCGGCGACGGCGGCGGAGAGGGTGGCGGTGAGGGCGGCGGTGGGCTTGGCGGAGGCGGCGAGGGCGGCGGCGAGGGCGGAGGCGGAGAGGGTGGTGGGGGTGATGGTGGCATAGGGTGATTCGGCGGTGGTGCACTTGGCGGGTGGGTTGGTATCGTGATCGTCATCGGCCCGCTTCCTGACTCGGACAGCCGCCTTCTTCTAGCCTCGCCACCTTCCAACATGGCTGTCAAATTGAAGTTATCGAGGTTGAACCCTTCGATGACAGTCGATTCTGTCGTTAGGCCGTTGGATGCGCATTCGCGCGCATAGTAGAACGCGGTCTTCCCTTCCTCTCGCAGGCTCAGCTTCTGCCGTTCAACAACCACGTCAAGGTAGCTACCGAAGAGCTCTTTCGCTTTACTCGCGACGGTTGCGAACTGCCGCCGATCGAGTTCGCCATTGGCATTGCCCCGAACACTCAAAGCATCAGTAAAGTCTGGTTTGGTCAGTCGAACCTTGCGGTCGAGGCGTGTCTTCCTGGCGACGTTCTTGATCCCTACTTGATCGTTGCTCAGCATACACTTTGTGTAATTGAGCTTTTCCTCCCCACACTTCCCCACACAGTCCTGGAGATGCACAGAACAGTCCTGGAGAGAGCGTGCCGCCATCCTCAAGCTCTTGCCGTTGAGTCTAGTGACGACGAGCCGACCGCCAATGAGTTCTCGCAAGGTCTGGGACAATCGCCGAGCTGGTTCTACCTCGTCGACTGTCATGTTGAACATCTCAGCGTCATCGCTAAGCCCCTCGTATGCCGACGCAAAGTCGAAGATGAGGCGCGATGATTCGACGTCAAGGTAGCTCTTATCGATTCCAATAGTGCAAAACGTGGTGTTGCTGAGCGAGTCGCCATCGGCGCACAAGTCCTCAGCATCCAAGTCGTGATTAAAGTTTACGTATGAGTCGCCCGCCTCGTCGTAGTCGACGATGCGGATGTGAGGGTTGCAGTACAGGCCGCTGGTTGGCCCAGGCGCCAGGCATGTGAACTCGTCGCAATCGATGATCGAGTTCCCTGTGGAGAAGCTAGTGACATTGAAGCCGGTGTTCACATACACCGTAATCCCGTCTAGCTCAGCACCAGGAGGTAGCATGGGCGAGGGTGGTGGTGGCGGTGGCAAGGACGGCGGCGGGCTCAGCGAGGGCGAGGCGGAAGGAGGCGGCGGAGACGGTGAGGCGGATGGAGGAGGTGGCGACGGTGTGGCGGAGGGAGGCGGTGGCGAGGGCGAGGCGGAAGGAGGCGGCGGCGAGGGCGAGGCGGACGGCGGCGGCGGCGAGGGCGAGGCGGACGGCGGCGGCGGAGACGATGAGGCGGATGGAGGAGGTGGCGACGGTGAGGCGGAGGGAGGCGGTGGCGAGAGCGAGGCGGAAGGAGGCGGCGGCGAGGGCGAGGCGGACGGCGGCGGCGTTGACGGTGGCGGCGGCGAGGGCAAGGCGGACGGCGGCGGCGGCGAGGGCGAGGCGGACGGCGGCGGCGGAGACGGTGAGGCGGATGGAGGAGATGGCGACGGTGAGGCGGAGGGATTCGGTGGCGAGGGCGAGGCGGAAGGAGGCGGCGGTGAGGGCGAGCCGGACGGCGGCGGCGGCGAGGACGAGGCGGACGGAGGCGGCGGCGAGGGCGAGGCGGACGGCGGCGGCGGAGACGT